CAGCGACCTGGACGACACTGTTGAGGTGGAGAAGGACAGTGGGGATGAAAATGGGTATGTTAACTTTTTTTTTTTTTTTTAAGAAAATCAACCTATGCGACATGTTTTAATTAAGAATTGGGTGTTTTTTGCGTTATTCCCTACATATCCTGTTTTTTTTTAAGTGCTCTTTAATGTATTGCCTCAACATCGTTTTTCTGTCAGTAATTAAAAAAACAAACTGTTTTACTTTTTTAGTCAAATTGACTCCCACGGATCGATGTCACTCTCCACAACCACGCAAGTCCAAGCCAGAAAAAGGCGCAGAGGGGTATGTGAACCGCGTTTCCCGCTCTTGTTTAATAGTTTCCAAAGTTTCTCATCCTCTGCACGATTGAATTAATGTTGAAATATGTTTTCAAACAGATCATTGAGAAACGGAGACGTGACCGGATCAACAACAGTTTGTCAGAGCTGAGAAGATTGGTGCCGAGTGCTTTTGAGAAACAGGTATGTTATTCTTCATTTTATTTGGCACACACAATGTTGTTGATAGATAATATATAACTGAAAGAGACGCTTTATTATAACGTCTTTGCAGGGATCTGCTAAACTGGAGAAAGCAGAAATACTCCAAATGACAGTGGACCATTTGAAGATGCTTCATGCTTCTGGTGGGAAAGGTAGTGGATATTTTCTTTGAATAAATGCATGTTTCAGCTCTGGTATTAATAAATATGACATATTCTTTGAGTAACACGTTTATTTAACCATGTTTGTTCTTTTCTCACAGGTTACTTTGAAGCTCACGCTCTTGCTAAGGATTACCGCAGCCTGGGCTTCAGGGAGTGCCTGGCAGAGACAGCTCGCTACCTGAGCATCATAGAGGGTCGGAACAGCACAGACACCCTCCGTGTGCGTTTGGTGTCCCACCTCAGCAACTATGCCTCTCAGAGGGAGGTGCACACTGGACTGGAACACTTAGCCTGGGGCTCTGCCTATGGGGCTACTCCTGCCCATCTACCCCACCCACTCCTTGTACAGCACCCCCAGGGCAGGACACCTGCATCCAGAACCGCCAGTAGCCAGGCCCCTTCCTCCTCCTCTTCACCCTCATCATCTTCCTCCTCCTCCTCCTCCTCCTCCTCCTCCTCCTCCACTGAGACATCTGGGACATCCAGACTCAGTGCCATGCCCCCCACAGAGTCCCTCAGGGTTCCCCCCAATGGCTCTCTACCCCTCAGTCTTCCCATGCCAACAACCAAGCTTTCTCCACCACTGGTCTCATCTCTGTCCTCGCTTTCGGCCTTCCCCCTCTCCTTTAGCGCATTCCCTCTCCTTTCCCCGACAGCCGTCAGCACCGTGAGTCCCTCCTCCACACTGTCAAAACCTTACAGGCCATGGGGCATGGAGATCGGGGCCTTCTGAAGCCAATCCCTGGACTGAGGGCAACAGCTGAGCTGTGCCCACCGTCACATACAGACTGCTTCAACTGTTTTACAACAATAAAATACAGGGGAACAAAACTGATTTTATTTTATTAAGCATAAGGAACAAGTGGGAGCGGTTGCTAGAGGATCTAATTTCTCATTTACTTTTAACAAGTAAAAAAAAGTATTTTTATGTTATTAAATGAAATCATAAACTAATTTAGCTAGCCTGCACTGCCTCCAGGTTGAGGACTGTTGTAATGGTATGATAAATGGGTCATGGATTGATTTACAATAAGCACAAAATTAGAGATCAGCTGTTGTAGGCCATATACTGAAATATACAAACCTACACCTGGCGTAACATAGATTAACTTAATTATGTCAGCTTTCCTTATGATTTTGGGAACTACAGTGACAATAAATATGCATATTATGTGCGCAACTTTTGGGAAAATAACTTTTTAAGGTTTGGAAACCTGGATTCTTGTACCTGTTTGTAATATTTTTGTACCAATAAATTGATTCTAAATATATACAACATGGTTATAAAAGAATGTGTATTTCTGTTGCCTTCACTTCTTTCATTCCTTTTTGGTTCTTATCATGTATACCATGTTGTTGCTTTTCACATTCATTCACATGCAGCCAAGTCCTACATACAAGCAGACGACAGAAGCTCCTTTACTCATAAAGCCCATACATTCCCATAATGACACACAATCTGCAGGTGCACTTCTATTGCAGTCTCATAGAAGTCAATCATGAGCTAATGAGGTCCTGGCTATTGACTGAAAGGTAATTCCTTTACTGTGTGCCAGGTAAGTAACCGAATTCGACAGCATTGTTGCCCTTATGAATACACAGGAAATCATTAAGAGCCAGAGGAAATCCTTTACAATGTTACCCTGACCTCACCAGCTCAGGTTGGTCTGGAACGGAGACAATAGTGTGAACAGTATGAGGACATTGGAGGAAAGAGGTTGAAAAGTAACAACAACACTCAGGCAGCTGGACCCATAAATCACTGTTCCGCATTTTAGGTACTGTTTTTGTTTCTGTCTTTTAGAGGCATGGCTTTTAAGGGGTTCATTGTTTTAATGGCTTGGTCTTTTATCCATGCATGAAGCACATCAGGCATTCAGGTGGGGCATCTGCTGTCTGAATTGTATTCCCCCAGGGCTTTAAGTCACATGCTGTAAATAATAAATCAGATTATGAAAACTAAAATGTCAACAGCAGATTTTAGGGAATCTAATATTCTAATTCAGCTAGTCAGTAACACTGTTAATATTGTTGCGTATATTCCTGTTTAGCATATTATATATTTTGTTCCAGTTTTGAAGGGTTGTAGGGTTTTGTTTTGTTTTGGGAGAGTTCTGGTCCCAAATAAATCTGACACTGCCACCTGCTGGTGAAAAGCTTAAGTACAGTTAGAAAAATTCAACCCCCCAGAGCTGGTGGCTCCGTAGTTATGGCACTGTGTTGTGGAAAACTGGGCCCAAACCTTAGGGAAGGTTTACTGCAGTTTAACACAACGTGTGATGAAATATTTCTCTCCAGAGAGGACACGATGCTCCCAAGTGATATGATGAGTACAGAAATCATGTGAATCATATGCTGTCCCCTCCACGGGCACAAAAGAATAAGTGCACATGGTGAAAATGCCTTAGTAGGGCACTGCGTTTCCCAGATATGGAATAACCGTTTTTTTCCCCACTATTTCCACTGCTGCACAGCAAACAATAACTGTTGATAACCAGCTAGCGTGCACGATGGCTTCTTTGTGCGCGTTGCTGGATGGATTGGAATGTAATTGTGTCCCTGAAATGTTTTTGCTCGTGCATGTGTTATGTCATAAATATAATTCCATACAGAAGCACCGTGATGTCTTTTTCCGCCACTCCTTTGTAGATTTGTAAAAAGAAAGTTATAACTTGCCTTCAAGACCTTGAAAGGCAACCTCAACATTGAAGTTTACCGGAAGCCCACACACACGGACCAGTACCTCCTCTTTGACTCCCATCACCCTCTGGAACACAAACTTGGAGTAATTAGGACCCTACACCACCTGGCAGAACATGTTCCCTCTAAGCCTGAAGGGGAAAAGAAGGAACACACACATGTAAAGGAAGCACTTAAAACATGCGGTTATCCTAATTGGGCGTTCATAAAGTCAGCAAAGAGGCACAGGAAAGAAGATCAGACACCAGCGAGGGAGGATAAGAAAGACAGACGCAACAACATTGTCATCCCCTATGTAGCTGGTGTATCCGAGAAACTCAGGAGGGTTCTCTCCAAGCACGGCATCCCGGTGCATTTCAGACCCAGCAACACACTCAGACAAAAACTGGTTCACCCGAAAGACAAAGCTCCTAAACACAAACTTAACAATGTGGTGTATGCTGTACAGTGCAGCGAGGAATGCCCAGACCTCCACATTGGAGAGACCAAACAACCACCAGAAGAGCCACCTCCACAGGACAAGACTCAGCTGTCCATCTGCATCTAAAGGACAAAGGTCACTCTTTCAAGGATGCCAATGTTCACATTTTGGACAGAGAGGACAAATGGTTTGAAAGATGAGTGAAAGAAGCCATTTACGTCCACTGTGAGCGACCATCTTTGAACAGAGGCGGGGGTTTACGACACCAACTCTCTGCCATCTATAATCCAGTTTTGAGATCCCTTCCCAGACGCCTTAACACCCACTCACATCCTGGGCCATCTGACCTCAGGAAATCACATGATAGGGAGGGGCCAGGTTTCACGATGAGCTCACCCAAAACCCTGGCTGATTGTAACCCACACCCGCTTTCACACCTTGGCTCATGTGATTAGGTAGAGGATCATCAGGGGGTCCTTTGTCCCTCTTTGGGGGGAAACTCCCACTGGGTTTAAATCTGGGACTCTCCACTATTTGACCTTAGAACTGAAGAAGCTTCTCAGATGAGAGGTGAAACATCTTCAAGCAACTCATAGAAGTCCAGACGCTTTTCTTTCCAAGCTCCTTTGACTACGATGACCTGGATGACTGAGAACCTTCACAGACATATAGCTCTCCTTAGGATCATTGCCCTGTTGCACCAACCAATTTTGGCCAGCCTTTAGTGTTATTTGTCTCTAGAAAACTTTGGCATACAGAGGAGAGCCTAGATGCTCAGGTCCTACAAATGTAAAACAAGCCCAAATCATTACACCGCCACTGTCGGGCTTCACAGTTGGTATAAAATGTTTGTGTTGATGTTCTGTATTTTATTTTTGCCAAATATGGGGCTGTGCATTATGGTAAACCATCTCCACTTTGGCGGCTTCTCTCCACTTTAAATTTTTCAGAAACGACCTCATGACCATTCCCAAATCATAGCTGATGTTTTTCGTCCTTGGCATTGTGTTAACTTAACACACAACTGCTCCAGACCATCCAACTGTAAAAATCAAACCCTCTGCTTTTATAGAGGTGCTCATACTTGCTGATGATCAATTACATATCTGTACATTTTAACTACTCTAAACACTGCAATAATAAAAATGTTAAAACGCTATTAAAATCAGATTAGAATACAAATTTACAGGAAGATTCTCAGGATGTGTAGATAACTGGTTCTTTTATTTGGCAGTTTACAGAAAAGTTTCAGATGGTGCATGCCATGTTCACAGAACCCCAAACTTTTATTCAGCAAAGCTTTCACAGAGAAATAGATGGAGGGAGAAAAACAAGCAGCAGAAGATGCAGGCAGATATCAGTGGTACTGTATATTAAAAAGAGACTAGTTTAGTGTGCTGAATGTAAAGCATCCTGCATCCATTCTCTATCTAACCCCCTAAATGAGAGAAGGTGCTGATGATGCCTCAAGGTAATTCTTCATTCACACACACCCACACAGACATACGTAATGTTCACACTATCAATATCAAGATGGGAGCAACAGCACATTCTACTGTCCAAGACACTATGCATGATACCAGTATGGTGTCATAACATTCACAACTTTATAAGGTTCATTCCCAACACTGTTCTTAACAAAGCTATTCGTTTGGGTAACGATGGATTCATCGAAAAATGGCGCGGTCGGGGTAAAGTGGTAATCTGCAAGTGTATAAACAGTTGCTCCCATTGGGCATAGACATTCTTAATAACAATAAAGCACCTATTGAGCTCATTTCAGAGGAAGTGGACTTCTATGTATCTGTGGGGATTCGATTATTGTTAAGTTCCAAGTGTGCGTGTTGAGAATGAGTAGGTGCGCGTGAGGGAGATACAGATGAGATACGTTGATATCTTGAGGAGTCTGTAGTCTGGAAACACCAACCGTCATTCTTCACAAAAGACACAGCAAAAAACATCATTATCAGGACATCATCGGGAATCAATGCAAATGCCTGTCTACAGCCAACTCACACCACTGAGAGCTTCCACAAGAAAATGGTCGCAGAGTCAAACTTCAAGAACTGAACATTAATCAAAGACAAAGAAAATATTAGATAGATAGATAGATAGATAGATAGATAGATAGATAGATAGATAGATAGATAGATAGATAGATAGATAGATAGATAGATAGATAGATAGATA